CACCGGAGAGGAAGTTACACTCTTAAATAGGACGTTCTCGGGGCTGGAGATAGAGAGTTCTGTTCGGAGTATGGGGAAGTTCAAGGCCCCTGGGCCAGATGGTTATCAACCTGTGTTTTATCATGAATGCTGGGACGTGGTTGGACAATCGGTGGTTCAATTTGCACTCGATTTTTTTGAGACTGGTGACTTACCTTGCGGGACAAATGATGCTCTTCTTGTTCTGATTGCGAAAGTCGCTAAACCGGAGAGAATTATGCAGTTTCGGCCGATTAGTCTTTGTAATGTTCTCTTTAAAACAATTACAAAGGCTATGGTATTAAGACTTAAGTCATTAATGCCAAAGTTGATTGGTCCGGCACAATCGAGCTTTATACCAGGGAGGCTTAGCACGGATAACATCATAGTTGTGCAAGAAGCGGTTCATTCTATGCGCCGAAAGAAAGGAAAGAAAGGGTGGATGCTCTTGAAATTGGATCTTGAAAAAGCATATGATCGAATAAGATGGGACTTTTTGGAGGATACGTTATATGCGGCACGTTTACCGGATAAGTGGGTCAAGTGGATTATGGCTTGTGTAACGGGACCGTCAATGACTCTCTTGTGGAATGGTGAACAAACGGAGCCGTTTAAACCGGCGAGAGGTTTACGACAAGGAGACCCTTTGTCTCCATATTTATTTGTTCTCTGCCTAGAGAGATTGTGTCATTTAATTGATATCTCTGTGGCAGCAAAAGACTGGAAACCCATCCACTTATCGAGAGGTGGACCGACGTTGTCTCACATCTGTTTTGCGGATGACCTTATTCTTTTCGCAGAAGCTTCTGTTGCTCAGATTCGCGTTATCAGAAGAGTGTTGGAGAGATTCTGTAATGCTTCTGGGCAAAAAGTGAGTTTAGAAAAGTCGAAAATATTTTTCTCGGAGAATGTCCATCGAGATTTAGCGGGACAGATCAGTGTTGTGTGTGGTATTAAAGCTACAAAAGATTTGGGGAAGTATCTTGGTATGCCTGTCCTTCATAAGCGGATTAACAAAGAGACTTTTGGTGATGTTATTGAGAAGGTTTCTTCACGCCTAGCGGGATGGAGAGGTCGGTTTTTGAGTTTTGCGGGCAGAATAACTCTTACAAAATCAGTCCTTTCTTCAATCCCTGTTCATTCAATGAGTACGATATCTTTGCCAGCTAGTACACTTGAGACATTGGATAAATTGTCAAAAGCTTTTTTATGGGGCAGTACTACTGAAAAAAAGAGACAACACTTAATTTCCTGGAAACGAGTTTGCTCATCAAAGCCTGCGGGAGGGCTGGGCATCCGAGAAGCTAAACACATGAACACAGCTCTTTTGGCTAAAGTCGGGTGGAGAGTCATTAGCGACGAGACTAGCCTTTGGGCGAGAGTGCTGCGAGGAAAGTACAGAGTTGGGAAGGTTCATGACAAGTCTTGGACTCTAACCAAGAGCAATTGGTCATCCACTTGGAGAAGTATAGGTCGTGGTATACGGGAAGTGGTGCTACCTGGATTGGGATGGGTGCTTGGTGACGGAAGGGAGATTAGATTTTGGTACGACAAGTGGTTAACTGATGAACCATTGTGTGATTTGGCAAACCGGGATCTCCCAGAAAGTTTTAAAGAGGTCAGGGTCAATGCCTTATGGCGGAATGGTTACGGGTGGGATTTTGCTCATGTGAAGCAGTTCACTTCGGAGAGTGTTAATTTGCGGCTTGCATCGTTGGTTGTGGATAATGTTACGGGAGCTAGGGATCGTTACTCATGGGGGGAGAGTGTCAATGGTGAGTTTACGGTCAAATCAGCCTACTCCTTTCTTGCCCGCGACAGCTCACCAAAACAGAACATGGGTAAGTTCTTTGATCGTGTGTGGCGAGTGGTGGCACCGGAACGTGTGCGTGCTTTCATTTGGTTGGTGGTACACCAGGTGATCATGACAAATGCTGAGAGACATCGACGCCACTTGAGTGACACAAGTCTCTGTTCGGTCTGTAAGAGTGGTGATGAAACTATATTGCATATCCTGCGGGATTGTGAAGCTATGATGGGGATTTGGAGGAGAACAGTGGATGTACGAAGAATCCAGCGTTTTACTGCGCAGTCTGTGCTTGAATGGCTCTATAGTAATTTGGGTAATGATGCTGATACGGAGGGTAGTCCCTGGTCGACGATGTTTGCTATGGGAATTTGGTGGGCTTGGAAATGGCGTTGCGGGAATGTCTTTGGTGCTAATTGGAAATGTAGGGATAGAGTGCGTTTTCTTAAGGACCAAACCAAAGAAGTATACACAGCAAGCTTGCGTGTGTTGGAAGGTACTAGTCAGGTAGCACGGGAGGAGAGGCTGATCCAATGGGTACCGCCGGGTGAAGGTTGGATGAAACTTAATACCGACGGAGCTTCCCGTGGCAATCCAGGCCTGGCCACGGCAGGAGGAGTGTTGCGAGACGGAAATGGGAGTTGGGGAGGTGGATTCGCTTTGAACATTGGTATATGCTCGGCACCTTTAGCGGAGTTATGGGGGGTGTATTACGGGTTATATATAGCTTGGGAGAAGCGTATCACGAGATTAGAGTTGGAAGTTGATTCAGAGATAGTGGTGAGTTTCCTAAAACACGGGATTAGTGACTCTCACCCGCTATCGTTCCTAGTACGTTTGTGCTATGGCTTTTTATCAAGGGACTGGATAGTCCGCATTTCGCATGTGTATAGGGAGGCTAACCGTCTAGCCGACGGGTTAGCAAACTATGCGTTTACTTTGCCTTTAGGGTTTCATATGTTTGAGTCTAGACCGGATGTGGTCAATTCCATTGTTTTTGAAGACGTGAACGGGTCTGCGTACCCACGTTTTGTTCGCGTGTAACTCTTTTATTTCTGTTTTAATAAATCATAGGGGACTTGTCCCCCTTTGTTTACCAAAAAAAAAATCACCACCATGAGTGTGAAGTGATTTGTATAATCAAGTTGTTGCTTTAGATCTAAGAAAATGATTCGACCCATCCAAAATAAACGGCGTAATTATGAATTGATTAAGAATATAATAATACGAAACTGATAGAGAGAATCTATTAGTATCAAAAAAAAAAAATATATATATATATATATATATATCTGAAAAGGGAAAAATGTCGTTAAAATCCCCAACTTATTCAAAACGTTGATTTAAATCCTCAACTCATGACGAAACGAAATAAATATCAAACTTATATTGACTTTCCAAATAAATATTAAACTTAGGTTGACTTTCCAAATAAACACTAAACTTTCATTGACTTTCCAAATAAAAATCAAACTTCCGTTGACCTGACCATATTAGGTACGACGTTAAGTGGGTTAATAAATCCTCAACTCATGACAAAACGAAATAAATATCAAACTTATGTTGACTTTCCAAATAAATATCAAACTTATGTTGACTTTCCAAATAAATATCAAACTTCCGTTGACCTGGCCATATTAGGTACGACGTTAAGTGGGTTAATAGATCCCGTTAACAGAGGTAATTTTCTGTTAACATATATGTTAATTGATAACGACATTGTTTCATATAACAACAAAACGACGTCGTTTTGTCGTAACGATTGAATTAAATCCCTAAAGTCAATATTCGATTCCCAAATCGAGCAAAATCCCTAACCCTAAATAGAGTATGATTTGAAACTCGGGATTTTAATGAACAGTTTCGACAAAACAAAGTCGTTTTATGTTTAGAAGGAATACTTGTTAGTGTTTTGATCAACAAACGAACTCTGTTTTAACAGAGTATGAAGAACAAAACCAAAATGAAAAATAGAGTATGAAGAAACTTGATCTTTATTGATAAGAGGAAATGTATTACACACAATGATGTTATTGAGTTTGACTTGATCTACTTATACAACACGAAACAACGTGTACGTACATGTGTTAATCGAAAAGACACAACTTTACGAACAGACACAACTATACGTACGTACATTCGTGACTCTTACGTAAATAACTAACTTATATGAATACGACTTTAGGTTATATGACTTAGATGAGATTTGATTATAGTTCAACAATACTGTCATTTTTAATTAGCGGGTCTGTTAACAGAAAATTAATTCCGTTAACATTGTCTGTTAACTCACTTAACGTCATGCCTAATATGGCCAAGTCAATGAAAGTTTGGTGTTTATTTGGAAAGTCAACATAAGTTTAATATTTATTTGGAAAGTCAACATAAGTTTGATATTTATTTCGTTTCGCCGTGAGTTGAGGATTTAAATCAACGTTTTGAATAAGTTGGGGATTTTAATGACATTTTTCCCGAAAACAAATACAAAGAAACGAAAAATGGGACGAGCTAGCGTCACGTGATAGAATCACTATTCCTATACCTTCGGCTGTATTTTTCCGACAGTGACGACAATGTTTTCATATATTATTACAAATGTATATATTGTTATATTATCTTAGTTTTTTTTTTCTTTGATCAAATATTATCATCATTTCCTACCAAAATTAAGATTACTGATCCATATTAAAGTGAACCATGCATCAATATTCTAAATAGTATTATTAGTTATTATTACTCTTGTATACAATTTTTTCTAATTCATAACAAAGACATATTGTACTAATAATTTATTTATTGATAATTTTTTTTTTAATTTGACATCTTTGGATCGATAAAGTCCGATCTATAATCAATCTTTAGTATGTGGGGTAACGGGACTTAGTGGAGTCCGATGGAAAAAAATAGAATCAAATGAACTCAACCACTTGACTACATATCCCCTATTTATTCATAATCAAATAATGTTTAAACTTTCATTATATGTTAATTTTGATACCGTCTAAATATCGGCCAACCCCTCTAAAGTAAATACAAAAAAAAATACAATATTAAAAACTAAAAAACTGATTCACAAACGATAAATAAAGACTAAAACTAGCCATTTATTAAAATTTTGTTAGACTAGATTTATGATCACATATTGTATTAACAGAAACAAATGAAAAACAGAACTAGAGATGCCAAGTCAATGAAATGGAACCTGCAACAAAACTAGGGATACCATAATTTCCGGAATAAACAGAGATCGGACCACACACAAGTCAAAACTAGCTTTGCTCACTCCTTTACTCCTACAAACTTATAATCATAATTAAACCCTAAAATTAATTAACGTCATTAAACAACTCTCTAATCTAATGTTACGCTCCATATTTAATTGCATTGCATGTGACTACAGCTTCAATCTGGCGATCATCGTGGCACTGAAGAGTAGCCCTCTTAAATATCAGAAACAATAAAATATAAAACCTTATAATAAAAAAAAAACAAAACATTTTAGCATTCTCTTATATTATTTACATAGAAGCCAAAAATTAAACACAAAGACTCATACAAAAGAATTTAGAGTAGAGAGAGAGAGAGATATAATGAAACGTCAACCACCACGTACACGTCACTCACCACCGCAATCTCACTCATCTCCGTCGTCATCGTCATCGGAATTCGAATTCAACATCTCAATCTCGCCGCGAAAAGCTTCTTCTTCGCTTTGTCCTGCTGATGAACTCTTCTACAAAGGCCAGCTTCTTCCTCTCCAGCTCTCTCCTCGTCTCTCTCTCGTCCGTACACTCTGTTCTTCTTCTTCCTCAGAGTACACTTCCTCTTCCTCCTCCTCCGCCGCAACCTCCGCCGCACGTGACTCCACTGAATCTAACTCCTCCACTGATTCCACCGCCTCTTTTCCTCTCCTCCACCCTCCTCCGCTTGATTGTTGTGACTCTTCTCGTCCTAGCTCTGTAACTGACGATGAAGATTTCTTCTTTAAACCTCCAAAGAACAAATCTTCAAGTAGTGGTTTCTCTCTCTCTAGATTCTCCTCTGTTTTCAAGAAAGATCCCAAAACCAATCTCCACCACCACTCCTCCTCCTCCTCCTCCGCCGCAGCTCCGTCGTCGGTTAAGAGAATGAGCTCAACAGCGAAAGAAGTTATACGCAAATACATGAAAAAAGTCAAACCTTTATACGACAAGTTATCTCAAAAACAGAGCTCCACTATAAAAACAGAGTCGTCATTATCTCTCAAAGATTCCGGCAACAACATACGTAAAACCACCACCACGACAACCACCGTCACAACCGCTCCAACCGTTGTCTCCTCCGGTAATGGTTTATCGATCTCTTTCTCCGGAAACTTAATGAAATACACAAAACGAGGACGATGCGCGGCGAGTTGTCCATCGTCGATGAGGTCATCTCCGAATCACTCCGGTGTACTGACACGTGGCGGTTTCCCGGGTCATCAAGGAGCTAGCAGCAGTAACAACAACAGTGTGTCTTCTTCAATGGAAGAGTTACAAAGTGCTATTCAAGGAGCTATTGCTCATTGCAAGAACTCAATGTTACAGAAGAATTTGGTTAGTAGTCTCGAGATCTAGCTTATATCTTTTGGTTCCATTTTATCGTTTTTTTTTTTTTTTGTCTTAATTTTTCTAGTCATTTTTAAAGTTTGATCTACTCTTTTGTTTTAGTGTGATTCAAACATTCGATTTAATTAACGATGATGTTATTGGTTGTTTTTATACTTATGTTTGATTAACTTAACTCATAATAAGACATATTGTAGTTTGGTGAATCATTTGAAGAAGATTCATCTTAAATTTATCAAAATTTTATTTTTATATTTCAAGTTTAATATTAATGGATCAAACCTCATACTAACTTCCGTTTATGAAAATTATAATATTTTTAAACTTCATACTACGTAGGTTATTATAGTTTTGTATACATTTCATGGTAGGTAAAAAAATGCATCGAGAAACATGGTTTGTTTGTTTCGATATTGTAATTTTGTTTGATTATGATAAGTGGATCTATAAATAAATTAGGAAATGTAGACGTTGTGAAATAATTGAGAGAAACAAGAAAACGACGGTGGGGTTTATATTTTACAAATAATTGAAGAATTGGATTATTGAGTACCTTCATCAAGTACTACTCTGCGAAACTGGTTCACTTCTTCGTATCTTATCTTATCTCTCTGATTATTGTCGGTGTTCTCTGTTGATGATAAATTAATGTACCTCTCTCCATTTTAATATCACAACTGAAAAATATCTTATTTCCAACTATATAGTATTTGGGGTCTTTGTGTGGACAATGACTCTCTAAAAATAAATCGGCTAAAAGTTATTTGGCAGGCTAAAATGTTACGAGTTGATACGAATTTGGTTGACATTTGTATGACAGAAAATATTTTAGTCATTATTCTAAGGATGGTTTTAGATATGATGTAACCTAGGAAACACTAAAAGTTATTGAAAGTAATGTTAATAGTTTATTATGATGTACTTTTACATATATTTTAAGAAAATAACACTTTGCTCGAATTGATTGATTGGAAATATGAAATATTTATAAAGAGATCGAAATATGTACGAAATTTTCCATTCATGGTTTATAATTAGAAATTTCAAACTTACAAATGAGGAAAAACTACGAATTCTTCATCTTTAGTTTATAATTAGAATTTACAAATAAGGAAAAGCACCTAGCATATATAGTTACCGGTGTAAAGGGTGACACCAAAGTAAATAGGTTAAAAGAGCATAACATAACAAAAATCGGATGATGACATTACGGTATATAATAATCACGGCCAATATTGATCATTTACAAACAAAAAAAAATGGTTGAAATTATTAATTTAAACATGTGTACATGAAATATATGTTTCTATAGATTTTGTTATATGTCATTGAAATGTTATTATGATATGGTAGTACAATTAAATCGTATACGTGGAGTAGAAGTTCAACAACATTAATCACACATATGCATATGTTTGGTTCTAAGTGGATGGTTGCATGTGCTTCTTTTGCATTGAGAAGCGTTGGGGTACGTAATAAAGATTCTAATGTGGTCAAAGTCAATGCTTCTACACACTTTGTTTATCTTTAATTCTTTATACACTACAAACTTACATATTTACTTCTATGTTTTAATCATAGCCAATAATGTCTTCATTTAATGATGGGGGCTCTTCATATTTTTCTTGATCATCATCTTGATGGTATAAATACAAGCACAGTGAAACTTAATTATTGTTATGTATGGGGACCTCTTCATCATTATTATTATTATTGTTTCTTCAACATCTTGAGTCTTATTTATTACCCCCTCCGTTTCAATTTAGTTGTCGTTTTAGGTTTTCAATGCAAATGTTTGGTGAAAATTCATGTTTTGTCATTAATGTTTTAATGTTTTGACCAATAAAAAAATTATAAAATATATTAATAAAGGGTAAAACAAAAAATTTAATAATTTTCTTAATTTGTGTGCGAAAACCTTAAACGACAACTAAAACGAAACGGAAGGAGTATAAAGTATATGTATACATTTAAAATTACTAATTAGCTATATATTTGTATGTAAATACTAATTTTAAACATATCGTCATTTAAACAATCTTTCTTAAATTCATGCTAATCTTCAAGTTTTTAAAATGTTCATTTTTTTTGGTTAAACTGCATCATGTTCGGAAAACGAATATTGCAAAAAAAATTAAACTTCACAAATTCACAAAAAATTTGCAACGTAATATCTCTTACAATTTGTGTTTAGACGTTCCATCTTTACTTATGTACGACCGCAATCATGACATTGTCAATAGTGGCATAATTGTTTCTCTTTGGTTGGACGACCAATGGTCTAGTTAATCTGTTTGCATTAATGCATGCATGATATGTCGATGTACTGAGTTTCTCTTTGTCTTTGTTTTCATGTTTTTTTTTCCGGTATAAGACAATTCAATAGGTTTAAGCAATTTGCAAATCATTTTCTAAAACATAAAAACTTTTATTTTATATAATATTTACATTCTCAGCAAACAAAAAAAACTCGTAGCATGCGATTCTAAATTTATATGGATCTGTGATTTAACAAAACGTATGATTTTTGAATTGTTTACCAATTAATGTGCCACATTAATAAATTAGTGGGGGATCCAATATTGATAGAAATTTAACTATGGCCGTCAAGCTTAAGAAAAGAAAGAAGTGACTTTACAAGTAACTGAACCATGTTTGATATTAATAAACTGTTCATATATAAAAAAAGTTACACTACAAAAAGTATAAATATGTTAATAAGATGCGGTCGAATCAATCAAAAACACTAATGGATGATTAAGGTCTTTGATATCAGTATTGTACAAATTTTGTTGGAACGTGAAAATATTTACATCTTGGAAAAACATGAATATGCTTTTTAGACTTGAAAATATAGAGAGAAATATTTTCACAAAAAACAATTAAATTGCGTTAAAAGAAAAAAAGGAATTCGCCATGCAAACTAGCTTTCGAGCAACTACTTGTGGTGAAGCAAGTCGTTCCAGCTCCCGCACCAGTTTCGTTCTCGTTCCCGATATCAGCACCCGCAGCTTAATTGTTTGCTTATTCAAGACATCTCGGAAGCAAAGTGGAATATTACTCATTATTCCATTCTATAAGGATTTTTTTGGCTAAAGCACAAGAAATAAAAAAATATTTTTTATTTATAAAAATTCAACCAAAAGAAATAAATACTGCACAATTCAAATAGTTATAAAGTATTAGATTTAATTCATAGAAATTTGAAAAAATCTAATAAAATGAAACAAAAAAAGCCTTAAATAAACATCCAATTGTCGGGACATAGGGAGTATATTTTTAGATTGACGTTTACATACAAGAACAAAATAATACCCCCTCTGTATCATAAAGAATGATTTTTGAGGTTTTATTTTTGTATCAAAAAGATCGATTTTCTGTAAATTTTTATCAATTAATATTAATAAATTGTGAATTACTATTGATTAATAGCTATGAGAAAGGGTTTGATATGAATAAATAGTGCATTTATAACTAAACATTAAATGTTTTCTTTATTTGGTGTGAAAACTCTATAAAATCAATATTTTTGATACAGAGGGAGTAGTGATTAAGAATTTTTATAAATTTGATCTAATACTATCTGAAATAGGGTATATAAAACGTTAATCATTACTCTGTAAATATAATTTTGTAATGATATATTCTATACATACTTCATGGTAGATCTATTCAGTAAATTGTAATATGGCTTGCAACTTTCATTTAATAGACCTACATAATTATACCTTCTTATTTCACATATCATAAATCATTAAGATTTCTATCATATGTATAACTAAATGAATTCAGAAGATAACATTCAAATGATAAACGTTAATTGTTATGAAACAGGACTATATGATGATGAACATACCTTCTAATTAACCAGTATGAATATTTTCTTTTTCTTGTGTGATATGTTTATTATTATCATGACTGTTTTTGTATTATCTTTTATCTTTTTGAAAATAATTTTCTTTTGTGCGTGTATTATCATGATGATGAGTTCCTACTAGCGTGATTAATGATTAGTCGAAACAAGTAGAAGAAAAAAATAAAAGGGTAGGTTGGAATTGTGTCTTTGCATTGCATGGGAATAGACAGTTAATGATAAACAGTGACATGTGTTTAGTAAGATCTTTTGGTAGCATCGCTGTCTCAACCACAATATTTAATACTTGCACTGAAATTTAAAAGAGTATGAGACTGATCGTCACAGTGTCGCTGTAAGACCACTTTCGGCGACCAATCGAAGAATTAATGGAATCAGCTAACTTAATTAGTTTTAATTTATTTCGGCAACAACTTTTGTATTTTCGATCGTGAATACAAAAATTCAGTCACCGGAAAAATATATATCATTGGTGTTACTATGCAATCTACGACGTTGGTGCCATTCTTTAACCATCGTTTTCCTTTGTTTTCGTCGGCTTATATATTTTTGCTGTTGAATTTTGTCGTCAAACGACGCCGTGCCAAACATGCCCTAGCCCTACATTGACTGTAGGAAACGTAAAATGATGATGAATTTTTTTCTAATAAAATGACACAAAAATAAATTAATTTCTATGAATAACATGTTTTTTTTTTCAATAAATAGCACCAATCTTTACTCTAGAATAACATGGTATTTTAAATTCATATATTATTAACCATATTCAATCATAATTGAAAGATGAGAAAAATGACAAAAAGAAGCATTATAACGGTGGTGTAATTAATAATTTGGAGTTAAACAATAATACTAGTAATAACGACTTTAGTTTGTTTAGGGAGTGATAATAGTTACAACCAAAACGTGTCACCAAATCCAAAATGAGTGGTCCAACACCAATGAACCCACGGCTCAACGTGCTTTCAAGCTAAGATGGCTGCAGAATCGATATACAACAATTTTTTTTTTCTAGACCCATTTTCCTTTAATTTTGAAACTTTTTATAGTCCAAAAGATTTTTTAATTTGTTTTTGGTTGTAGTTTCGTAGAAACTATATTTTCTTAAGAAGGCCCACAACTATTCTCCACATAACTTACATTTAGAATTAAATCCAGCCCTTGTAAAAGCCCAACTTGTAGATAGAAGAAGATACGACCTATCTAAGGACAACCACTTGTGTAGCTTACACTAACTTGTAGTAGTAAATTAGTCATCAATTTGACTCCCACCAAACGA